TGGGTCAACTCCACAAAAGACATCAATTTATTGTCTAAAAACATATCCCCAAGCCTAATAAGTCCCAAATCACACCAACGTTTAAAACCATCATCCAAAATTCCTGGGATAAAATCAGGATTATTTAATATTGGAGTAAATAAAGAAGTCAATTTAGATCTACCTTCAAGCCTACAGACTGATCTCCATGCTTTCAGAGTATTAACTATAATTGGATTATCATATATCTCTATTTTTTGAAAGCTCTTAACAAAAAGAAGAGCTCTTAAAGGAAAATTTGAAAAGGAAGATTCAATATCTAACCAAGTAGAGGAAAAATCATTTCTAACCCACTCTGCAATATATCTCAGATGAGAACTTAACTGATACATCTTAATATTTGGAAAATCCAACCCGCCTATGGAACTCGGCAGATAAAGTACTGACATTTTTAATCTAGGCTTGCGTTTACTCCATATAAAGGAAGTCAGCCAGCTATTTAGTCCTTTAAATGTTGTATTTGAGAACAGTATCGGAACCATACGAATAGGATATAATAGTTTGGGTAACACAATCATCTTCACAAGTGCTATCCTACCCAGCCAAGATACTGGCAAGGAATTCCAACGTTCTAAATCCTGCCGTATTTTCTCAAATAAAGGAACAAAATTAGATTCATACATCTGCTTCAAAGATGAAGAGATAGAAATACCTAAATATATGAAACCTAGAGGTGACCACTTAAAAGGAAAGCAGGGCACAATGTTAGGTTTGGAAATAAGAGTACCTAAGGGCATAGCTTCAGATTTGGTCAAATTAATCTTGTAACCAGAAAATGTACTGAACCAATTAATCAACTCAATTAGAGCAGGAACTGACCTCTCAGGCTCAGATAAAAAAAGCAATACGTCATCAGCGTATAGTGCAATCTTATGATGTATATGTTCTACCTGTAAACCTGAAATAGATGTTGTTGATCTGATAGCTTCAGCTAGAGGCTCCATAGCCATCGCAAATAAAAGTGGCGACAGGGGGCAACCCTGCCTGGTGCCTCTATGCATAGGAAAAAAATCAGATCTAATGCCATTACTCAACACAGCAGAGCATGGGTTTGTATACAGCACTCTGATCCACTGTACAAAATTTTCTCCTAAGCCAAATTTTTCCAAAACAAAGAAAAGATAGGACCATTCGATACGATCAAATGCCTTCTCCGCATCCAACGACAGAACTAGGCCATCTATAGATTTCGCTTTAAAGGCATAAATAACATTTAGAAGGCGTCTAACATTATCAGATGAATCCCTACCCTGTATAAATCCAGTTTGATCAGTCCCAATTATCGTAGGCAGAATTTTCTCAAGACTGCTCATCGGCTTTTAAAACACAACATATGCTGGTTTATGCAGGTGGAATTAAAAAAAATTTGGTGAAAACTGTGAAAAAATATTGGTTATTTCCTTTGGTGGTTCATGCCGCTTATCAGCTTTAAAAACAACATATGCTTGTTTACGCAGGTGGAATTACATTTTTTCCCCCGTAATTTTCTACAATGTTTTTTTCCCTGGTGAAAACTGTGAAAAAATATTGGTTATTTCCTTTGGTGGTTCATGCCGCTT